ACACACACACACACACACACACACACACACACACACTCTCTTAGGTCACATTTGCTTTTCCTATGAGAAATACATTTGTTTTCCACTTATTATGAATGAATATTATTTCACTTTGCATTTGTTTTCAATCTGTGATAGAAAGCAAATGTTTTAGTATGTTATATCAAAGGAAAAACATACTACATAAAAAAATGATGGATGCAAATTGAAGATAATTTTAGATTTAGAGCTCTGTAAGTCTTCTTAATATGCTAACATTTTTTTCAACATCTGCTCTCATTTAGCTTTCAATTGACAGTCTTCATTCTCTTCCTAGGAGCAAGAGTAAACCTAACATCATGTACAACTGAGAATGGATCATAATATAGTACAAATGTATTTGCTACCAGTTTAGTAGGATGCGCAGTGCCTCTGGGTGCTGCATATAATTTATACAAATAGCAGCTTCCGTTTTATGTGGAATTCTGTCAATATTTTGACTTTTTAAGCAGTAAAAGCTGATTGACAGATTTAGCAGAGAAGCTCAGGTGTGCATTGCTATGACATTACTCAATACAAAGTGAAAGTAATACATGAAGTAGACTAGGACGTGTGTGTGTGTGTGTAGGCACAGGCATTAGGAAACTCAGAACAACAGAAAAAGTCTCAAAAACGTAGTTCATCCACCGCTTGGGACTCTTCAGTAAGACAGCCAAAATGGCTACACTCACAGTTTAATGGCAGAAAATCAACTGTTTAATCCAGAGTTGAACATAGAAACTCTCAGATTAGTGCTGAGTCATTCAACCCTCTACTCAGTGAAGAAAGCCTTACACATCAAGTCTGACAGACCATCATCTAGCTTTTACCTCTTTCTAAAAGTTAATACTTCACCTAAAAATTATGTTACAGATTTTTTTTTCCCAAATGGTAAGTCTTATGTAGGCCCTTTTCTAACCAAAACTCTCTGTCATTGATATGCAAAATGATATGATATTTAACTTAAGTTAAATAATAATTCACAACACTCAACGGCCTTAAATTAAAAAGGTATCTTTAAATAAAGAGAGGGAAAAGGGAAAGTTAGCTCTTTTAAGCCATTTTAGTTCATAATCTTAATTACAATCAAGTTTAAAGTAGGTTTGCAGCTTATTTTTTGGTAAAGCCTAGAAAACTCAAGTTTG